AAAGTAAAAGTTAAAAGTTTAAAGTTAACTTAATTAACTAAATAATACAAATAATACTTATATACATTATATAATGTAATAATAAGTAGTAATATAGTACGTATTTTACAAAATACTAGTCTACTAAAACACGGCCAAGACAGGTCATTTCGTAAAGACTAAAGGTAAGTTTTATATTACTGGATACAATAACTTGAGTGCACATGTGCTGCATCATTGTAATTTCTGTATTGTTAGCCAGGCATGGCTGAAAGATCAATATAATACAAATAATAAATATATATAAATGTATAACATTATGAGATTTAAGCTATTTAGTCTAAACATTTATGTTTTTGTGTTATAATCTGTGTTCATTCTAGAAGGAAAAAGGCATAATTTATATTTATTTCCTAATTTTTTTAACGTGGTTAAGAGATTGGTCAAATCTACCAAACCTGTACAGAGAATCGTTACTGAAAATAACATAAAATATAAATTTTTTCTTAAGAAACATTTGATAACTATCTGGACATCATAAAATTTCACATGTGAAATTTGAAAATTTTCTGATGTATAAAAGTATTTTTAATCTTAAAATGAAAATTACCTTGCATGTTGGATAGGCAACATGTGAAATGAAAAAAAAGGCATGAGAAAAACATTGCTTTACAAACCTTAAGACTTAATAAAATAATTTGATATTTTGCATATGAAAGCATTGTAATGTTTACTGATAATCTACCAAATTTTGTTAACATTCACTAACTAATTTAAAAGTTATAGCATGAAAACTATAACAAGCACAAAATGACTTCAAGGTCGGTCCTAGGGACTGAGCCTGTGCTGAAAGAGTTAATAGGAATGATTGATTCCTAATGCTTTAAATTAAAGCAAAAGAATATTTCTAGATTTATCAAAGGAATCACTTATAAGAAAAACATTTACTAGTCTTTGTATTGAAATGTCATGCAGATTAGAATTTAATGTTGTTATTGTTGCACACTATCAAATATTAGACTTTTAATGCTTTTCCAAGTAGCCTTGTTTTAGAATAATGTTAATAATATTTGCTATAGATATACTAAAACTTATATTAGCATTACTCATAAAATAATTGCATGTTTAATTATACTTCACTAATTTGACAAATTCCACACCAACTGCTAACCAATTACACATGCTGAGCTTAAATAAAAACACAGCCTTGTGAAGACTTGTTAATTTTCACCCATAAGATAACAGCCTAGATATAAATACTAAAAGTAAGGTTAGCTAAGTTACCAAACTATCAGATTGTTGTAATTTTTCATCTTTTTTTATTTTATCAAACTCTCCTTCTGTGGCACATTACAACCTGCTATAATCAATTAGACATTTTCTTTTTGAAGATACATCAAACACTTGGTGTTTGTTAAATATGCAAATATACTATATGACTTAATTAAAGGAGAGAACCACAACACTGCAAATGCTAGAGAACTAGAGTTGGAATCTGAGTAAAAGAATGTGTTTAAGTCATGATATCAACAATGTACATTTTGAAAAGATGCAAGTGCAGGACTTAGAGAAATTGCAGTTGTACACAAATTTTATTTTAATCTACACAACAGCTTGAAAAAGTATTTTAAAAGAAATGGCATTATGTTAAAGTTTGATAGTTTCCTTTAAGTAAAGAGACAGATAGTAATTTTAGTGATTCATTGTGACTCATCTGTTTTCTAATGATGGTTCATTATTTAGTTTTAGTGCATTTTTACCATAATCTGTAAAACTGAGTCAAATTTAACTTATTTTGTTCCATGAATTCTAACATACCTCAAACAGTTCTTAACTTATTATAAAATATGAGTAGGTTATATGAACTGCAATATTCCTGGCATATATGTGCAACATAAGATGGTTCATAACATATAAATTTCCTATTTTGTTTTTACAAATGATCATCATCCGTCCTTAAAAAAACAATTTATTTTAAAATAATTTATGATAAAAGTGAAAATACTATATTATACTTAAAAAAGTCAGTTTACCAACAGAGTTTTATATGCACAATCCATCTCAACTTACTGTTTACAGGAGTGATAAATCTGTAGCAGGAGATCAAGAAGGGAAAATAAGTCGTCAGGCTGAACAATTTCAGGATACTTTGACAATAATGCTGCTAACAACTGTAGCCTAGAAGACATTATTGTCAATTAATCTCAAATACTGCAAACCTAAATCAAACAATATAGCTAATAATTTCTCATCTTATCATTACCACAAGGTTTGATTTTTTAGTAAATATAATTATGAAAAGTAACATTTGTAATATGCCTATAAAAAACATTAGTTTCATTTTTCACAATACTTCACATACTAATCAATTTATTACTTTCAATGATGAACAGAACAACATTTGTTATACCAGCTTTAAAGTACTTTTTCCAATGATCTGGATAAAATAATATACTTTTCAAGTTAGAGCAACAACTCACCAAGGAATTGCTTCCACTGATGATGACAAAGCATGCAAAGAATCATTAAAAATTTGCATTCCAACCTCAAGTCTGCGTTTCTTGGTTGCAGTGGCTGTTACTTGGTTGGGATCCATGATGGACAGCTGTGTTACTTCAATACAGTCATCTTCCTTAAATACATGATGGCAGACTTCTACTAAAACCTCAATAAGTGATGGTTTCAAAAATAGTTCTTTGCTAATAACAAAGAAAAATCATGATAATGAAGATTTATTTTTACACAACAAATTACATCTGCAACTTACTATTCCTCTAACATTGAGAAATATTCATTGGTCAGCTATATCACGAATGAAAAACAAACGTTAGTTTCATCTTAATGGCAATGAAAACTGAAATTTCATCACAGAAATTATCATATACTTTTGAGTTGTTGGTTTTTTAATAAAATTTAAAATTTTTTGTAGTTTTGGTTTATACACATACTATTACATTGAAACTGTCCAGCTTCTTTTTACAGAAAATAAATTTCCAACATAAGAAATTCTGTATCATGGAACTAACTATATTAATTAGTGATAGTAAAGCCTAAAACTGAGATCTCATCTTGTCATCAAACATGTTTCTTCTTCTTGATCAACAGGAAATACATTTTTAAATTAGTTAGGTAACTCACAACAGTTACTTTCAAAATCTATTAGAATGTTGTATAAGCATATTTAGAAACTCATTTGATGACAAGATTAAAGATTAAAAGCAACATTGTGTGTTCTGGATTCTCGTTTCACAATTTGGAATCTCGTACACATGCAACCATCTTTAGTTCATAATATACCAAATATAAGGATCAGATATAATTAAACCTTCCACAATTAAGCTGTGAAGGGGTATATCTATTTTCTAGAACTTATCACAATTAAAACCTATTTAAAATCTTTTTATAGAAGCATTCCATGTTTAATGAATTGTTAAATTAATAAGTAACACTATTTATCATTTTTGCTATCAAAGTTATCAATGAAAAACGATTTTTTAACTTTAAAATTTTCTTTCTGTTTTCTAGGTTTTATTAGTAATTTTCAGCTTGACAACTGTTGTTTTAAATCTTTTATTCAAATATACAAATAATTAAACCTTAGGCCTTAAAAGATGAGTTATATTTCAACTATTATAAATTGGTTAATATTCAAACAGAACAGTTACCTGGAAGAGTATTTATTTCTTCCACATGCTTGTTGAAGTTCACCAATCAGAACATTATATAGTTTTTTCAGATTACTTTTCCAAACCTCCCAGTTACAAGCAAATGCACCATTTCCCTCATCACTGACCCCTTGAGGATGATGGAGCCCCAACTGTAGTTTCCAAAACTCTAATAACTTTTCCTAAAACATAAAAAATATATAAACATGAACATATATATGTATTTCTTTACTAAAAGCTCACAATTGCAACAAAAATTTAAAGGAGAGATTCAGATTCTAAAAACAGGCTTAAGATATAATGATACAGGTGAAACACCATGTAGTATAATAGCTGGGTTTTTTGTGTGGATTTTATTGCCTATACAAACCTCAGTGATTTAAAATTTCTATTAAAATATAAATGAAAGATCAAAAAGCTTATCAAGAGTATGCATTATACCCGTTTCCATTGCAGAATTAGGAACTACTTCAAGATGTAAACATTTTCATGATTTACGCAAAGCAGTTTTTACACATAAATAGTACTTTAGTATTAAGTGTACATGTTTTTTAGTTGTCTTACATTACCACACAATTACTTAAACACCTTTGTTTACTGTCATCAGCATATGTTTAGTGATTTTCCAAACTTACTTTTGTTTTGACTGATGGCTTGGCACTCCAAAGATATAGAAATGGCATGAATATTAGCTCTCCTAGTTTACATAGTTGGGTACGGCAATCCAGAGCTATGTGTTTGCAAAAGGCAATCAAGGCTTCTAGAAGCCCCTCATGGTGTCCACTAGATTTTTCATTTCTAAAACATAAGTAATGCATTTACTCACTTAGATGGGTAATAAAAATACAAGCAGGCTTTTGTTATAAATGACATATAAACTAAGCACAGAAAATGTTTCACACATAAGATTATGAACCTGCAGAGGTAAAACTTATAAGCAGTGCTAACTTGATACTACACTTATTAATTTATAAACAGTTTTCTAATTCTTTGATTTTCCAAACTCACAGATGGTACCTTATACATGGGAACATATATGAACAATGTATTTATTTAACAAAAATAAAATACCATGTACTTAGAACAGTGACACTTAGAAGTTTATATTCTGCTGTACTTGTGTGTATTGGTTGTTGGCTAGAAGGCTAGGTGATTGCTTTTTCTGAGAAAAAAATATTCCTACATAAGAGCAGAGCATTTTCAATATTTTCAACAAAAGCATAAAACTTGGGTAGCAAAGCATTTAATACAAAAAAAGCTCCATAACCACATCTCAAAACAATCAAAATCTACACCCTCACCAGCAGAATGAAAGTTATGGTTACAAAGAGAATAATTCAATGTGATGAAGCTAGCCAAATTCCTTAACCATTCACAAAGAAATAAACCTGAATTTAAAGATGACAGAGGCATGAACATACTTCCAACCACACCTCAAAGTCTATGGTAATTTTATTGGCCAGAATGGCCAAAGAAAATGGAGTCACAACAATTTCATATGGCCACATACCTGTTAAGTCTACTGATGCAGTTCCAATAGACTTTTGTGCCTTTGGTTTGCGTTACACTATCAGCTTCAGTAATTATATCAGTCATCTCAAAATGCAATACCTTAGTAAAAATTGTATTTAAAGAATAATATTTCTAAGCATATTTACATGTTATTTTGCACTAAATATACTAGAATAATGTACTTTATACATACACAAAGCTTTCAGCACTAAGTTTATCAATAAATTCTGAAAGAATGCCAAAATCTGGTTCAAACAACTTTTTAACTCATATGATCTGTAAAATACATATGTGGGAAAGTTTAGGAGGTATTCTTTTGTCAATATAAAAACATTTTAAAAAACATTATTAACTTTCAAATAGAATAAAATATTACATCAGTTTGTCTTACAAAAGTTGTTTACAAAAACTTAGAAAAATGGGCATCAAATTTAATGATAACAGACTGAAACATCACTTTTTGTGAGGCAGAGTTCAATGAACACTTAGAAATAAGTCAACTTAAGAAAAAACATCACAAGAAGAGGAATTAGGAGGGAACATTGATATGGCTGTTCTCTAAAGAAGCCTAGTCTCATGGAAAGCATCAGGGTCATATTGTAAAAAAAGCAAACAGAGCATGTTTGTAGGGACAAAATGGTCTTCGGTACTTAATCATAACTTCCAAAAAGTATAAGTGACCTTGTGTATTACATACATGTAAATATTTTCTTATGTCTTATTCTTCTAAATTAAAATAATGAAAGGGTTAATATATTGTGCATGCATACTATACCCTTTATAATTTTTTTCACAAATTAAGCTGTTCTCTATATCAGTGTTTCCTAAAGTGGGAGCTGCAGCCCCCATTTCGGCTGTGAAGCTTTTTCTGGGGGGGACTGCCAAAAAATTGGCTGAAAACAAAGATCTTGAATAAATTTTAATTAAAAAGTAAGCCGATAAAAATTATTTGAATTAATTATTGTTTTTACTATAGCACTGTTTTTCAATCACCATGCTAAAGTAGTAGGGGAACATTTTAAGCCATTTTTAGAGGTAGGGGGCCTCAAACTTTTTTATTTTCACATCAAAGGAGCCTCAGACAAAAAAATTTGAGAACCATTGCTCTATCTAATAAATAGCTGTTTCATAAAATATTCTCTATGATTTATTATTTCAGCATATGTTAGTACTGTCCAATGAAACAAGATCAAGTACTATTCAATAATTCAGATGTTGAGAAGTATGATAAACAATGAAGTGGAAAAGTGCCTAGAACTATCTAAAACATATAAAATATGTTTTTAAAATGACTACTTAAAAATATCAATAAAACCTATTACAAAAGACTGTAATAAAACTATTTGCCACAGATAAAATATTACTAACAAGACTTTTACTTATTTGTAAGTTATTCCAACAGTTTTTACAGCCATATTTAATTCAGTGAATCCAGTGTTGGTCATCCTGATGGACAAAAATATTTCCACATAAACAAATGTATTAAAATTATTTGATATTCATACCTTATGTTCTTGAAAGCCTCACTGAAAAATGTTAACAGAGTTCTGGATTTAAGGTTGGATTTTGTTGTTGCCACAATGATGAGGCGATGCAATACTTGAGTTAGTAGACTTCTATCCCAACCGTTAGGAGGATTCAGAGTTAAGCGGCAATATAATTTAATGAAATCTAGTAAAAAATGAAAAGTACAGTATAAGTTAATTTGCAAAATAACAAAATATAAAACAATTTTTTTTTCCTAAAATGCTAATTTAATGAAACATACAATTATTTCCAAAAAAAAACATTACAGCTTATTAGAAGTATATGCATAAACTACATAAGGTGAGTGTAGAATTACAAGAAAAAACTAAAGTTTAAATTGGACTTAAGAGTCATAATGGGATTCCTGAACCCTGTGCTACTGTAGAAATGATAAAAAATGAATAACATTACAATTACAATTCTTTAGAATTCAAAATATTTTTTTAAAGGTACAAATCTTTCCTTACTATTACACATTCTAAGCATAATATATGATTCAGATAAATGTATATATATATATATTATATGGACTGGCCATTTACTTTTTCCTGGAAATGGAACAGTACTGACTTCAAAAAATGTTGAAATTTATCTTGTTTGACCATAGTCCATTTGTTATGAAGTATGGTCTGACTGGCTTACAAAAGTCAGCAAAGGATTATGGTGGCCCAATGAATCAGTTAAGCTGATTTCACAGATGCATGTCTAACTGAAATTGAGTGATTGTGGTAGCCATGATATGATTACATCTATGCATTTATAAGATTCAACACAGCTTACTTCAAACATGACAGCATATACAATCAACAAGAAGATCAAGCCATGGATTCACACCAATCACCAGTAATCAGTATCCTATGCATGGAACTTTTGAAAGATAATGCATTCAAAACAGCTATTTTAAGACAAAGGATTTGGCTATGCCATGCTGACAACATAAAATTATAAACCATATAAACATACAATATCCAGCAGTATAATTCACTATGGTTTGGTTTGTTATGAATTTTGCACAAAGCTACACAAGAGCTATCTGCACTAGCCATCCCTAATTTAGCAGTGAGTGAAAGACAAGAAGAAAGGCAGCTATTCATCTCTACTCACCACCAACTGTTGGGCCACTCTTTTACTCTATCATGAGGTAGATAACCTTCCAGCGATCTTGTGGAACACCCCATCTCTATGGTGACCGTGTGGAGCCATGGACAAGAGAGTGTAAGTCAACATGGCTTACAGTGCATATTTTAAGTGAAAGAATACCTGGTTAGAACCACTCCCCACAGAGCAGTGAAAAAGTGGGAATAAAGAAGGGCCCCTGAAAAAGAGGAAAAGGAATAAAACTTACCAGTTAAAGTTGCACAAAAGTCTGGAGCATGGCCACAGGTGAAAGATGAAACCCAGACGTGGAGTAAAGTGTGATGTGATGAAGATAATGGGAGACGATTTATACTGGGCATGGTCCACATGCTAGCTTGGAGAATCTCCTCCAACAGACGACGAAGACAGGAAGTGAGGGAAAATGGAAGATGACAAATTTGATGTGAAAACACATGGAACAAGGTACGGGGGGAAGAAGGTAAAGAGGAGTAGGTCAAACAGACCAGAAGGAGAACCCAATTCGTAAGGGTAGAAAAGGAAAGATCACATATGAAAAAGGATTGCCAGGGAATGAAAAAATGGTTGTGCATACCCTGGAGGGAAGCTGTACAGACAATATAGCACCATAGTGGCCTAACAGAACACAGCAGTCTATCAGGGTCCAGATGAGAGTAAAGATGGGAGATAGAAGGTATAGAAATACGAGAAAAGGAGGAACAACCTTCTCGAGCCACCCCGATCTTGGAGAGAAAGGAACGATCAGGATAAAGGCAACTAAATCAGATCAGCGACATTCACAGGCCAAAAAGACAAGGAAGTATGTCTTAAGGGACAAATGAAACAAGAAACACAAAAAAAGTGGTTGAATGGAGTGACAGTCAATGCATGGAGGACCACGTTAATGTCCCAGAAGGACATGCATGAGCATAGTGAGAACAGGGGAAGTAAAAATGTATGGTATCTGGAGAAATGGAAGGTATGGAAAAGGGCTGCCTTATATCCAGAAATCAAAGAGATCGAAGACCCACAGTTGAAGAGCTAGGTGAGAAATTCTGTCACCCAAATCACTGAAGGCTTGACAGCAGGAAATCTCCTGCCAGCAGACCAATAACAGAAGACCTTCCACTTGCACTGGTAAAATTCCATGGAAGATGGACGATAGGAAGTCGCTAACAGGGAGGCAACTCAACACGTGTAGCCGGATCTCTTCGCCAAGGGCCAGACCAAAGCCAAGCATGAAGACATAGGATGGAGAGAATGGGATGAAAAGCAGAGGATCAAGATTGATGCAGAAGGGAGGGAAACAATGGAAGAGAGGTGAGAGGAGCAGACACTGGAGCCTCAGAAACCAGGGTTGTGTTGGCCAATGGGGTACAATCAAGAGTACTCGAGCAAATGGGTGGGAGGTTATACATAAAAGTATTTGTGAGACCAATCCTGGCTGAAGGCATCAACAGCCAGAGCCTCAGTGTGGGGGACAGGTGACCAAAAGAGGGGCAACTTTGTTATGAGGCCTGTGGCAAGTGCATCCAATTGTGGAGAACCCCATAGGGGGCAAAGGTCTCTGAAAACGATTGGATCTAATGACCACTCCATGGGATAGAGTTGGTTTGACCATGAAATACAATCTGCTACTAGATTGAAAGCACTCAGGATATGACATGTAAGAAGACAAATGTGATGTGCCTGGGCCCAGAATAGAAGATCCAAGGTCCAGAAACAAAGATCTCTGGAATGGGTACCCCCTTGGTGGTTAATATGAGCCACCACCATACAGTTGTCAGAATGAATAATCACCACATGGTGATGGGCAACAGAAAGGAAGTGAGATAATTCCCAACGATTCACCAGAAGTTTGAGAACTTTAATATGTGAGACAAGTTGGTCTGCAGACGAATAGCCTGAAGCTTCATGGTGATCAACCCAAGCCCCCCATTCCTGAAGGGAAGCATACGTAAACAGATGGACATCCGGACGAGGGGGTGGAAGTGGCACACCCTCCGACGTATGGGCTTTGTTGATCCACCAAATCAGATTGACTCTCAGGGAAGGAGGAAGTGTTCACTGCAGGGATCTCATATGGGCATGACTGAGGGGGGCCAAAGCATTTATGGAAGACCACATCCCCAAAAGCAATAGAACCTCTCGAGTAGTAAGTAAATGAGCTGAGAGGGCATGGTGAACTAAAAGTTCCATAGAACTGAGGCATAAAGGAGAAGGGAGAGCTGGGTGGGTTGAAGGACCGACTTCTCCAATCAACCAGCCCACTCGAGCTGCCACAGAAAAGAGTTGGTAAATGTGATTGGTCGACTCCTGCTCGGAGTGAGCTAGAAGTATCCAGTCTTCCATGTAATGATGAAACCGCAACCCCAAAGTATGAATATGATGAGCAACTGCCCAAACGACGCAACAAAACATATATGGAGCCGAGGCAAGTCTGAAGAGAAGAACCTGAAATTGGTAAACTACCCCGAGATGAACAAACCGAAGATATAGATGGGATTGAAGGGCTATCGGGATGTGAAGATAGGCATTGGAAACATTGATTTTTATCATCCACAATTATGGGAAACACATCAATCTCTGGGTAAGAAAGGACTCCATAGTGAATTTAGGGAGTGTGATGAAGTGGTTGAGGCATAATAAATCAATGACCGGTCGCTAATCCCCGGTTTTTTGGGGACCATGAAAAGATGGGAGTAAAACCCCTCCAAGGAATGTTGAACCGATCGATAATCCACTGCAAAAGCAAATCCTGAACCGCCTCTGACAGACGCTGGCAAGTTACGGGATCTTTAGGAGGAGGAAAGAAAATGAGGTGAGGAGGAATGGGAGGTGGGAAAGAAATGTGAGAACGTGTCCCTCTGAAAGAATCTTTGTCACCCATTGATCTTCGACAAAGGGGAGCCTGTGAAGAAGAAAATCCAACAAATGAACTCCCACAGACCCTGAACCCACCGGATAGTCACTGGTTCTGTTGACAATGGATGACATGTTGGCGATGACCTCAACGAAAAGAAGTATCTGGATTTGAAGGAACAGGTAAATGATGGGAGGACAAAGAACAGGAAAAGGGAATAGGTGGCAAGGAAGGCTCTGGTTGAGACAAAGGTTGAAAGAGTGGACTGTTGTCAGGCGGATGTTACCTGCGGCTTGATATCGTCAGGGACGGTATCAAAGATTTAATGTCGAAGAAAAGGAGCAAGACATAAATACCTGAGATAAGTGGAGGGTAAATTAACACAAGCCAGAATGGAGTCCCTACAGATAAGGTTCCAACAACAAAGAAACCATGTATGTAACAAAATAGCCGAGGAAGAAATACAGGCCAAAGTGGAAGAGAGAAGGTGAAGGGTATCGGCATAAAATCCCTCTGGATTTCCGTGGACAGCCTCCAAGAGGAGGTGTATACAAGACAGATAACAGAGAAGGGTAGTAAGGGTAAGACGAAAGTGAGAATATTGGGCATGTGTGAGTCTAACATTAGATTCTGGAGCCACCCCAAAGAGGAAACATGGAACTCAACAACTGATGATCCAAAACCGGATATTCCGCCTGATGATAAGCAACGATGTATTGATCAGAGGCTCTTGGGGGAAGCAGTATACTGATCCTTTAACCTAACTGGGAGAGAAAGTGATCCGCATGGACCCAAGTATCAGAAGAGGAAGGAAATACCAAAAATGATTGAGAAGAATGCTCATGCAACAAATAAGGACGAAGGAACTAAGAAATAGGGGAAAAAGACAAAACATCACAAACCTGAGATAAAAAATCAGTGAAAGCCAAGGAAGGCCTAGGTGTATCATCAGGCTGGAACTGGGAAGGAATGGCAAACTCGGGAGGAGGAACGAAGACAATCAAAATTGTCTTCATGTTGAATAATGTCAGCAGACTCTGAAGAAGCTCGGGAAGTAGCAGAGAACAAAGTATGACCCAAGTAGTGTTCAATCTCCTAACAAACAAAATCAAAATGATCCACAGTCGAGTCGCCTGCACCTGAGACAGAAAATTGTTTGTTGGTGTAACCCCGAAGTGGTAACGTTGACTTTGGAATTCATAACTCATAAAAATTGCACAAAATTGTCTAGTGAAGAAAAGCAACAATAATAAATTGGGAGAATGTGGTAATGTATAACCAATAAAAATAGAACCCCTTCAAACAAAATCTAAAAATATGTGACTGAGGAAGCACAAAAGAAAATTTCCATATTTGAAAGCTGCCAAATAAGAAGTGAAGGTTCAGTAGAGTGTAGAGGGAGTCACATGCTAGTATTGGATAATAGATAACACATGATGATTTGCATGATACACATGTTGGAATGTACTAATTCCAACAGAGTGCAAGGCTTATGGCATGTGTAAAGAAAATGTTCGAATATAGAGGGCAGCACTGAACGAGAATAGCTAGTCTTGTGAGTGGAGGTAAGTACCTTATTGAAATTTCAGTTTCACATTTCGTGTTTAGCAGTTTTTATGGGTGTTTCTGCAGTTTTTACAATTACATATAAGGGAAGCAACTTTTCATGACCTAAGATAACCTTTCACTAATAATGCATTTACATAACTTCCACCCAGGAGACAGGTACTTCAGTTAGTATCTTATAAGCTAAATGAAAAACAGAGTACTGCATGTAAATTTATTTGGTCCCTCACTAAAACGCAAGTCCAGTAGCATACCTAAAATCACCACAGAGCTGACATCATTAAGATATTGATGAATGGATAGTACTTCTCTTAGAAGAACTGTAGTGTAATCAAAGCCAAATGCTGATAAGGTGAAGGAATCATTCAATACCACTGAGATGTGATTCAATAACTCAGATGCTCGTAGTCTTGGGCCTCCTAAAAATAAAAACATAGTTTTACCATGTACAAAGCTTTTTGATGTCACAAGTGAAAATGTGTAAATAGTTATAAACTGCCAACAGAATTACAGAAAACTAACTAACAATCTTTTGACAAAATCCTTTAGTCCTTTTAACTTACTCACTACCAATTGTTCACATTAATAAGTGCTCTTTACATAAAGCTGATTTTATCTTTAAAAAAAATGACATAAATCTTTATCTAAATCATAATTGTATACTACTTTTGGAGTGTAAAACAAGAAATATCATTTTGACCATTAAGAACAACTGCAGTTGTAATAGCTTCTTTGTTTCACCAGTACATTACAAACAGAAAATATAGTAGGTGGAATATGAACTAAAATGAAAAATTTTCAGTTAATGAATTCAGAATGGTAGAGTTGTTGATATATAAATGTAAATATTTCTTACTTTGATTTGCTTGTCTAACAACAAACTTAAAAAGTTGCGAATACATCTGTTTTTCTTTCTTTCGGTTAGCAAGTACTGTTGAAGATTGTTTACCAGTTCCCGAATCTTTACTTCGAAGCCTACCTGCTTCCTGAGTGATATGAGAAAAAAAAAATTGTAAGATTTTCCCAACACCAATAACATAAAACCATGTTTATCAATTACAATTAGTTTCTTTTTTAAAAAAATTTACCAGTTTTTTGGTGATTTAGAATATCTAAAAAATCTCAGTAAATATGCATTACATAAACACAGTCATTCAGGATATCACATATTCTATAGAAGTTTCAGTTATAAATATAGAATTTCTAACTTACTGTCAAGATGAAATTCTTCACTCCTTTAAATACTGTGTCCCATGTCACTAAATTACTCCGTTGATGCCTTTCACTACCTTGTTTCAAGTCTGTGTTTTTGTCAAGAGTCTGTATTACAACTGGTTTAACAAGCTGACATTGAAGCACATCAATTTGTTTCTAAAGAGAAAATTAAAAGTTTTTATTACATTTTTCACAGTTTACATTATAGAATATTACCTGTGAATACTTACATAAGCACTCTCATATTTTTTCATGTGACAATTAATAATCATTAGGAATCTCCATTTTTTATTAACTTTTTAAATATACTGTTAATAATACCTACCACCTTTTTCACAGTTTTAGGTTTAGGACTAGGAGCTTTATCCTATAAAAGTTTCCAAATTTTTTATTAAATGGATTTTGGCTTTTTTTTTCATAAGCAATAATAAAATTTTGGTAATTATCTTCTTCACCTACAATTTAAAGACAAAATTTTGAAACTCAAAAACTTTATACACATATTAGATTCTTATGTATGGTTTCAAAAATAAAATAAAAAATAACTGTTTTATAATTATTTACATATCTTTGCTCCTGCACAGAATTTTTAACCATCTTCCTCATTACTAAGAACAAGATGTAAAACAGCATCTTTTCAACTCCATTACTAAAATGTCGAGCAAAAAAGTCAATGCTCTGCAATCTTGTGAGACCTTTAAAGAATTCAAGATAATCTGGCACTAAAGTCACACCTCCACCTACAAAAATCAAGCACTTGGAGCATCCCAATTTAACAAGATGTAACCCTTCACATCCATATATTTATTTAGGAAGGGTTTTAAATAATTTAAATAACAGCTCAATCATAAGGCCATATTTAAAGACATACTGCAACTTCACAATATCTGTCACCAAATACAATTATCCATTTCTTCTTTCTAAAATCTTGAAAGAACACCCCTGTAGATGTATCCTAGACACCAGCTCCTTAATAAAAAATTCTCTCCTAAAGCGTATTTAACCACTGTGACCAATAAGATGCTCTACCATACCCCAACAAAGAATTTCTATATATGACATCTCATTTTGAAGTTCCTTAAGCCCCTGAAGTAGCTTAACTCCCTGTATCTAATTATAATTTTCTCAGGTTTGACATAAGCAAACACCAAAAAAAAAAAAGAGTATCTATTTTCATATCAATACAAAACTATATATTCTATACACATCCTAAATCTTGGCACTTGTATACAAATTCAGTTATTTATTATATTTGACCCTCCACAAATAAATCCATCAAAAAATCTAAGTTGTGAAACTTTCACAATTAAAATGCTTGGATTTTTCTATTCCTTGCACTCATCTTTTTGCTAAGATTTACATGTGCATGGGTGAGGATTAAAGAATATCATGTTACTTCTGACACTCAACACGAAACAGTGGAATTGACCTGAATCAAATAGATATTAATTCCTTGGGCTAAATAGAAAGATTAATATAGAATAAAAATAGATAAATATACAGAGGTTTTCTCTAGTTTCAAGGAGGTCAAAAATCAGATATGTCACCTCTCTATTTGATCTGCACTTTTGGTAGGTTAACAGGTGTCTGAGAATTGGACTACTGTTTACAATACTGTTAACCCCATTGTCCTAGATATTATAGGCCAGTAGATCTTGCATTTGTGGTAGGATACATTCCAGGGAATCAGATGGAAAAAGCTTTACAAAACCATTTAGTTGAATATGATATCACAAATCACAGCCAACACGGATTTATCAATTTTACCTTACTAATCTGCTATTTTTTTTCAAGAATGTTACTTGTTATCTAAATGTAGGAAACAATATTGACTTTATGTGCTTAGCTTTGCTAGACAAAATATTAGCTAAGAAAATCACATCAGTAAGAGCTGTGGAAATTCTAGTTAACTGGATTGTAAAATGGTTGGATGAGAGAATGCAAAAGATTGTTACTAATGGTGTTGAGTCAAACTGAATCTTTGTTGCTGATGGAGTGCTTCAGTGAGCAGCGTTTTTATGGCCTTTGCTTTTTCTTCTATACGTTAATGATATTGATAGAATTAGTTGAGTTGCTGATGACATTAAACACTTGGATAATTCTAACTGTATTGAAGATGTCAAGACATTACAGAAGGATATGGACCATTCTTTAAATTGGGTAAATAACCTTTCATTATAGTACCTGCATGGTAATACACTGAGTTAGCAGAGTTTGTATCACATGTTTAATACACAAGATCTTAGTATAGAGTTGAATAAATCACTCTAACAATTGAAGCAGTTCTCTGTTGCTAGTAGTAAAGCTAATGGAATTTTAGGGTGTATTTACAGCCATATTGAGTGCAAGGTAAATGGCCTCACTTGGAATACTGTGTACAGTTTGGTCTCCTTATCTTAGAAAATATACTGAACTAATGGAAGACTACTAGGTTGATTCCAAGAATGGAGGCATTATCTTGTGGAGATAAGTTAATATCTCTTAACTTAGTTTCTCTTAAGAAAAGTAGGGTATGAGGTGATCTTATTGAAGTTTACAAGATAATTTAGGGGGTCAGTAAGATAAAGGCCTCTAATTTCTTTGTGGTGTATATGGAAATAACATAATGAAAGGTTACAAGTTTAAGATTAGGAAAAGAGAAGCTATTATCCTGATAAGACAGTTTTATTTTTATAAAAGGGGTAACTGACTTATAGAATGAGTTACCTTCATCTGTAGTGAAGAAACACTTTACAAAAGTTTAAAGAGATGAGTTCATGATTTCCTAAACAATTGGGGATTGGTTTAAATTTTGACTTTTCTCAAGGATGGGTGTACAAGGATAACCTTGAAGAAACAAATGATCCCTTGTTGTCTGCATGCTATGTAATTTGCTTGAAACAGTAAATAAGTACAAAAGGAGTTGTTCCTATATTATCAATAGCTTTTTACTGTTGCGTCAGCGAGATCACGTGACTAGTATCATGCCACCCGTTTTCTAGAACTATCCTGTTCCTTCGGGAGTGCTCTAGCATTTGCTAGATTGGGGGTAGTCTGGTATATATAAGATGGTCACGGCGTGACGTGACAATGTGTGTAGGTAGTGAGTAATTGATCTGCAGTCACAGGGTATTGTTGAAGTTAACGTTCGTTCGTTATAGTGTTTGTTTTAGCGCGAATGTTGAAATTAAGTGTATCATAAAGTTATATTCGGAAAGAATAAACCAGTTTTATTAAGTAAGGGCTTGTGTCGCTAAAGTTTCGTCGGAACGAAGTTACGGAAAATTAATTAACAAATGGAGACGTAACATTACTGATTACTAGGGATGCATAGGTACCCGGCCAGATATTCGACCCCGACTGGGTATTGGGCTACCCGGTAATACCTGGCTCTGGAATAATGTTGAAGTCAGGCATCTAAGCCCTAATATTTGGGGCAACTAATGCGGTACTGAAGGTTACAGTCAATAATTGGTTTAGTTATAAAAACGTGTTCCGAGCAACAAAAACTGACCGCCCGCTGAACGTCAGGGATTCAGAGAACAATAGGGGTTAATAACAGGCATGGCTTAAGAAGTGGATTTCTGGGGAAGGTGGTGGTTTTGAGAACAATAAGGTTTAGAGTTTGAGGAGTTGGGGCTAGGCATTGAAAGTTGAAAGTAAAACTTGAATGTTCTGTTGGTGATTAATCGGTTAAATGTAATAAATGTCAATTTTGTTTTTGTTTCTAATTTTTGTGTATGTTGTTGTTGTTTTGTTGGGGGGATATTTTTGGAGGTGGGGCCAAGGGAATAACCTGGTCCCAGTTGACACCCAGCCTCGGCCAAAACTTAGTGACCAGGTACCCGGACCTGGTATTCGGCCAAATTTTACTACCCGTGCATCCCTACTAATGACCCAATGAACATTTGTTTCCCTCTAGCCTTGATATTAATAGCCTTTCCAAATTGTTCCATTTCTCAACTTCTTTCAAACCTCTTAACTGACATGTTTTTTTTCTTCTTATAATGAATAGGTTAATGTTTGGTTTTGTAGCTATTAAAAGTGACCACAACAGAGAAAATGGCTTTCTTCCACCCTGTTTGTTTGTAATGGTGTTATTATAGCTTAATCAAAACAATTTTTATCTTTAAAGCCATTTGATCTCATACCTTAAGGATTCAAGAAATGTAGCTCATTTAGTTAATATAATTCCATTCTTGGGTTTTCAAGAAACGTAGCTCGTTTAGTCAATATAATTTCATTCTTGGGTTTTTCAAGAGATGTAGCTGGTTTAGTTAATATAATTTCATTCTTGGGTTTTTCAAGAGATGTAGCTGGTTTAGTTAATATCATTCCATTCTTGGGTTTTTCTAGAAATGTAGCTGGTTTAGTTAATATAATTTCATTCTTGAGTTTTTCAAGAGATGTAGCTGGTTTAGTTAATATAATTTCATTCTTGGGTTTTTCAAGAGATGTAGCTGGTTTAGTTAATATAATTCAATTCATGGGTTTTTCAAGAAATGTAGCTGGTTTAGTTAATATAATTTCATTCTTGGGTTTTTCAAGAAATGTAGCTGGTTTAGTTAATATAATTTCATTCTTGAGTTTTTCAAGACATGTAGCTGGTTTAGTTAATATAATTTCATTCTTGAGTTTTTCAAGAGATGTAGCTGGTTTAGTTAATATAATTTCATTCTTGAGTTTTACAAGAAATGTAGCTGGTTTAGTTAATATAATTTCTTTCTTGAGTTTTTCAAGAGATGTAGCTGGTTTAGTTAATATAATTTCATTCTTGAGTTTTTCAAGAAATGTAGCTGGTTTAGTTAATATAATTTCATTCTTGGGTTTTTCAAGAGATGTAGCTGGTTTAGTTAATATAATTCAATTCATGGGTTTTTCAAGAAATGTAGCTGGTTTAGTTAATATAATTTCATTATTGAGTTTTTCAAGAAATGTAGCTGGTTTAGTTGATATAATTTCATTCTTGAGTTTTTCAAGAAATGTAATTGGTTTAGTTAATATAATTCCATTCTTGGGTTTTTCAAGAGATGTAGCTGGTTTAGTTAATATAATTTCATTCTTGGGTTTTTCAAGAGATGTAGCTGGTTTAGTTAATATAATTTCATTCTTGGGTTTTTCAAGAAATGTAGCTGGTTTAGTTAATATAATTTCATTCTTGGGTTTTTCAAGAGATGTAGCTGGTTTAGTTAATATAATTCAATTCATGGGTTTTTCAAGAAATGTAGCTGGTTTAGTTAATATAATTTCATTCTTGGGTTTTTCAAGAGATGTAGCTGGTTTAGTTAATATAATTTCATTATTGGGTTTTTCAAGAGATGTAGCTGGTTTAGTTAATATAATTCAATTCATGGGTTTTTCAAGAAATGTAGCTGGTTTAGTTAATATAATTTCATTCTTGAGTTTTTCAAGAAATGTAATTGGTTTAGTTAATATAATTCCATTCATGGGTTTTTCATGAAATGTAGCTGGTTTAGTTAATATAATTCCATTCTTAGGTTTTTCAAATGCTGAAGTTCAGTTTGATGATTTATATCCAGCTAAACAATAATTTAAATATATATATATATATATATATATAAACACTAATTTCTAAAGAACAAAAAGGCTTAAAATCTTCAGTTTGGTGTTTTATACCCAGCTAAAAATAATTTGAAAATATATAATCACTACTTTCTAGAGTATGAAAAAGTATATCATTTTATAAATTATTATAGCTCATGTCATAAACAACATACTGTACCTTTCTCTCTGTGGCTTTATCAGAATCCAGCAGTCGTATACAATGAGTAAGCTCAAGCAAAGACATCTCAATTTTTTATCCTGTAAGAAATAAAACATCATTACACATATAATTTTATAATTTTTAATGAAAATTACAACAAACATTCAATTACTTTTGACAATAGTTTTTAACTACAGTTATATGCAGCAAAATTAACATTTTTCACAAATTTTAACTAATCATGTTGATATGTATCTACATTAAAACACTTTTCAATTTTGCAAGATTAGAAATATATATTTTGTTAAAAGCATATTATTATTAATTATAAATACCTAAATATGTACAATTATAAAAATTAAGAAACTTAAATTTCACAAGTAGTCATAGTGATAACAACCTTTCCACTCATAAATAATGAGTAACAGAACCTTATCCATTTACAAGACATATGTTTCCAATAGTTAAAATATAGCTTCATGATCAAGTTAACACAAAACTAACTAAATTTAAATAACAAAAGTATTGTAAAAAGCATCTTCAATGTTACAACTTAGGTTCCAAATACCACTAATCAAATTCATACACAAAATCTAAATATGTAAAAAAAAATACATTAAAACATAAGCCAGTTATCATAATGAAGCATTCTTCAAAGACTTAAAAAAAGTTAAACAACAGTACTCCTTTAGTGTCCCTGGAAAATAAACTGGTTATTTTTTGTTGAAGTTTTTAAGGATCATGGGCAGAAGAAAACTTATTTGAATTTTTTTATACATACAAATCAGTATGAAAGATAAAAGTAATATTATAAGGTGGAGAATACTTTACAATTCAATATTCTGTCACTGTCATTCTTTTAAATCTGTTACACTTTTAAACATAAATCTCTAAGAAACACTAGTAAAATCATAGTATAAAAAGTACATTGACATCTGACAAAATTAAATGGGGATTTTTTGAAAAAGTTATTAGAACTATGTAACTCAACATTAATTTACAACAAAATACAAAATAGGGATGAATGATCTGCTTTATAAGAATTTATATATTTTTGCATATATATATATTATATAGTGTATGTACTTTATCCTCAAGTAATTAGTTATTTCTTTAAACAGTAACAAAAATATAGTAGATGATAATTATTGTTCAGTATACTAACTATATACACTGTATAATATTTAGTACAGTAATTAACATACAATTCTACCAATAATACAATGTATTTCTTAATCATTTCAATCACCATTCACTTACTTCCAGAGATCAAGAGGAAAAATATTTAAATGTAACAATAGGAGAGTTAGAAACTTATACAACACTCAAACAGTTACTCCTTCTCTAAACTTCATTTTTGTATAATACTTTAAAAGTTTTAAGTTTCCAAGCTTCCTTTCACTATTTAATTTCCTAAATAATATTGCTCAACAATTAAAATTATAGTTGAAAGTGGTCTAACAACTATACTGTGTTTAATAAATTGCTTGAAAATTTATAACTGTACATTTTGTAAAACTATGTGCAAAAAAAAAAAAGAGGTAAAAATCACATTAAATTGACTAGATACGAGGAAAAAAAGAAAAGAAAACCATGTATCATGGGTAAGGTAAACTATTTTTCATTATAAATATTTTGTGTTGTTAATATTGTACATAACAATCTTCAGAAACTCATTCAGACAAGGTGGCCACAGTTTCAGCTGACACACACTTTATTTTTCTTTAATACATGTAAAAAACCTTGAACCAACCTTGTTGCAATAGCAGTTTCTCTCATAATATTTAAGATGTTTTTAAAACATTAATAGCAAAACACTTCTTTCTTTATCATTAATAGACACAGATGGATTTTATCATGACTGGCATGAAGAACAATAACAATTGGTGGGGTATTTACATTTAATTAGCAGCTAGGATTACATCTTAGTATAACTTCTCTAATTATGTGATACTCAGACAGTGATGCAAGCTTATATAGACACAGTGATTTAACCTACTGACTCTGATGATAAAATGAGATTTAACCCTCCACCCACTACCATAATACCCAACTGATTTTATTGCACACTGATATATTTTGAAGCTATTCATTGTGCCTTTTAGAAAATAGTATGGTTTATATTATACCTAGACTTTCTTTGAGTTTTTGGTGTTAGAAGAGAAATGGGTATTTTTCAGACAAGTTTGGCTTAGATGTGACAGTACCCTACTTCAAAGTCAAATTTGAAGCCTTTTCATCCATTGGGTGCACTTAAGACTTGCAGATTTGAATTCAGTAGACAATTTTACGTAAGAAAAATGTAATCAAGCTTTTGGTCAGAATCAATAGATTAAATCTCCATATCTCTCAGAATTATCTATTCAAATTATTATTAACGTAGTGTTATGTATGATGATGTGTTTAAGTTTAGTGTTTTAAGTATCTTATTTGGATAATATTCACACTGACATTAGTTAGTACTCCATCCGGTCTCGTCGGTAATATGAGTAAAGAGTGTAAATCAGAAAATGTAATACTAATAAGAATATACCAGTTTCCTCTACTTCCAATAGAATTCGCAGTTCGATATATATTCTGTTTCTATTTCTATCTATTATTAGTGAGTATTACTGCTTGGTAACTTTAACTGGTGGAAAAACAACAATGTTAACTTACCAAAATATTATTATTATTATAATATATATCCTACTGTAACGAAAATAACCACTACTTGTTAGGCTGTTCGTGTTAATTATGAACTAAGTTGTAGAAGCTGTATTTTGTAAATTGTGAATCATATAACACAAATGGCAAAAGTTGTTGCTGTTGCAATTTGTTGTCCCGCTGAAATCTACTGCCCTCTATACTTAAAAAATAAAATTGCAACATTTGTTAAAACATAGACACAACATATACCAGAGCAAATAAAACAATTATAACTGTAATGATGCACGTGTTATATATTTTTACCAGCAAATAATTAAAAAAACTTAATGCATTGGTTCGAACTGAGATTAATGTGTTTTCTCTATGGTATTTGTACAATTTTGACCTTTTCCCGACCTAATTATAGAAACTAAGTCCAAATTTATCAACATTGTGTATTATTTATTATGTGATATGCAACATAATTTTTGTGATATATAAATTTTTTATTGCACATATAAAATGTTTCCTTATCTGTCTTTGTCAGATTGACACAGTATCGATGTTTCATACACTATGTCACAACTGCTCTATGAAATGGACCATATATCACATTCAGTCGTCAATGGGTTTGGCGAACATCCAGTAAACTATTACTTTGTTCCTGTATATGGTATTATGATGTATGGCAGGTGTTAATCACACTCATTTAAACCAGAATTCACAAACATTGCAAAATATGCTTGACACTCGGTATATCTCATTAATCCAAACCATCGGATTGCCAATGGTATGAGGAAGTTAATGTTTTAACCTACCTTCGCACTTTCCGCAATTCCGCAAATAAATAATTATTGAAGTTCGCTTCTTGATCCATGTGTATTTCTCAACATGCTCTGAATCGTTCTATCTGCGGTTCAACTAACTTGTCAATGACAGATTATGAAAATACCAACCAAAAGATAACCTCTGTCTCATTTGGTAAAGTAATGAACAATAACCACCAGATATTGATCATATTACCAGTCTTTGGAAAGAGGCCAACGACATCTAGGTCTACCTTCTGCAAAGAAGAACCTACAACTCTGGTGGCATGTACATACACTTTAGTATTTACGACATCTTTCATTATCTCAACACAACTTTGGTAAGAAAAGCTGCTTTCACACACATTATCAGTATTGTGCGAAAGTTTCTCGCGTATTTCACTCCTTATATCACAGTTCAAGTCTGGTCTATTTTAGTGCTAGCACTATCGTTGCTGCTCCAAAGAAATCTGTACAGTGATTTATGTGTCATATGCATATCACTTGAGAATGGGTGATTGTTGTTCTACTTAGTTAATAATGTGATCCTGAATACATATCAGCCAATTCCATAAGGCGTCTAATGCGTTTCTGTTTCTCTTTTGAATCTAGATTGTCTGAATAGTTCTCAACCAGTTCCTCAGATGTTTCGATATTCATTCTTCTGTTCCTAAACATTATGCAACTAATGCAAGTCTATCTAGATAGACATATTGGTTTAGTGCTGCCTCATTTACCGTGCTGATAACCATTCCAGAGAAAATATGAATAACCATCTCTCCATGATTTGAAACCACCTAAGACAAAGCCAGCAATTAAAGCAATAACTGCCGGAAAAAGTACAGCTTTGTTTCTAAACAGAATGCAGTGTCTTTTCTACATAGATCACATCACTAAAGCACACTATTGACTGGCTTTGTGCAAAACTGAACTAAACGACTTGTATTTTCAGAAGTAATATAACACTTTCTTGTACATGTAGTTATGTAGTCCACTGCTTCTGAGCTCATCATAGAGCTGCAGATCACCTATTCCACAGATTATGCTGACTGGTAACTTCTGCAGGAGGTTTATCTCTAAGAAAGTAATGCTTAGCCACTGACCACAGAAAACCTTCATTCTGCAAGAAACGACATTGATACCAAATGGAGAAAACCTTTTCATATAATTCTAGTTAATTTGCAATAAGCAAAATAAAGTCACTATTGACAAGCTTGAGTGGTGTCTTTACTCAGAGCACCTGGAGCACTGTAATGTCCGAAAAGTTCTGGCAATTCCAGTATCTAGCAAATGCTCAACCTTGCATCCATATATCTTCATAGGCACATATTAAGCCGCATCCACTTAAAAATGGCATGTGTTGGTCAGCACACTTTTAAAAGCCAATTATTTTACCTGGCTGAGTCGATGGTGAGATTCATTCTAAGCTCCACTACATTAAACTAGCCCACGCAGTGGGAGAGTTACCCTGTTGTTGATCCTCCTGCTGATGTTTGACAGTTGATTAGAAACAAATCTGCTGTTTATCTTGTTGCACATTAGGATAAGAAAAGTTTTTATTCAGTGTCCAAGCAACCCATAATTGAAGCAGAAGCTGGATGTTTATCATGTAGTACACTATATGTTGGTAACTGACTTATGCTATTGTAATGCTTCCATGATAACTCGTCCTGGAAACTATTTACTTGTAACAAGTGCAGATACACCGTAATATATGGAAACGCAATTACCAGTGAAGCTGATGGTTGAGGAGTTGGAGCTCAACAATATACCACTACAATTTAGAAGAGTTTCAGCCATTCAATGCGAATATCTTAAACCACGTTGCTATAAGCATGGTTTCTGTCAAATATGAGATGTCCCCAACATTTGTAAGCAATTAAATGAAATTTAAAATAAAGGAATGGTAGTGGCCTGAATGCCACAACTCTCTTACTTTATTCTATTTTGCCCCTGAAATAAACTTCAATACACAGTATGTATCCATACAGTAAACATTGAATTTATTCCTCTAACTTTACAAGTAATTCTAAAATGGTGAGCAAACAAAAATTTTATGCGAATTTAATATGCATTCTCAACAAAAGAAGTTCAAAGTAAGGATAAAATGTATAACTAACTACGTTGTTTAAAGGGTATTGTTACGACAGCGGAAGTCAAGTGACGCTGATAACACGTCATGAGATTCTCGAAGGATCTTGACTTTTCCTGGGAACTCTAGTAAGTTCTAGGCGCCCTCTTTTTTAGTATATAAGCCCGGCAAATAAAGTAGAGATATAATTGGCAGGTAGATAGATATAGAGACAGATAATCGAGTCAAGTGAGCAGTAAGCACCGTAAGTAAAGTGTGTGAATCGTTGTGAATTATAGCGTGAGTTTATAA